CGGCCGGCGCGCCCCGCGCACCCCGGACCACCCAGCCTCCGACCCACGACCCACGCGCTACGGAATCCTTCCACTCTTCCTGCCAATGACACGCATAATCCAAGGTCCTGCGGTGACCTACGAACTGCGATGCGAGTCACGGAAGGAACTTTCCTCCCTGTGAAAAGAATGGCACATTCCAACTACGACACGGACACTGGGGACTTGGTTCCCCCCCCCCCCTTTTTCTCCCGATTTGGCTATTTTCCAGCGCATTTGTTATCTGGAGGTAATTGGAACGGGCGGACCCGCTGAGAGCACTGTGCAGAATTGGAGGGAGAGGGGTAATGCATTCGCAGCTCTTAGGTGCCAGGGGTGGGGTGGGAACGGACACAATAAACGATTAACGCCTTCGGAAAACAAGACTGAACTCCGGGAACTGTGTGCAGGGAGCATTTGGCTTTCCACCACCCTTTTCTTTGAATGGCAATGGTGTTCTTCTTGCCAGGGGGGCCATACCTTCCCTGGATAAATTGGGTATAACTCCTACACTGGCTGGGAAGCTTCACCCGGATCTGATTGTTCTTAGGAAGCTGAATTGTTTGAATTTTCTGCATGAGTCGAACAAGAGCAATCACTTTCTCCAAAGTTGCTCTGCTAGGATTTTTTTTCTCTTCTTCCCCCACCTCCCATTTCCTCCCTCCTGCCCCCCCCCACCCTTCTTCCCACCCAGCTACTTTTCTTTAACACAGAAAAGTTAAGAGCAAACTAAGAGAGAAGCAAATATTGGTGAAGATGGGTACTTTATCTGAGTTATTTAGGAAATGCTTTTCTGTGTTTCATTAAATTTTCATCCAGTTAACCAATCTGAAGCAGGGCACGGGATTTGGGGTTTAGTTTTAGGCAATTTCAATCACCAACTTGCTTGCTGTTGGGTTTTCTTTTTTGCATCTCTTGTTTTTAAGCAAGAGCCACGATATTTACTATGGACGTTGTCATGAAATGTTCAAAGGAGTCGTCAAGCATTTAAAAGCAATTATTGCACCTGCCAATGAGGTGTGGTACTGTACTTGCAGTCATGGTGTCACGTTTCCAAGTTTCTATACTGTGTTCTTATCAGGCTTGTATTCCTTTATTCCCTCTCAAATCATCTTTTTGGATACAGAATCTCAAACGTGAAAGTCACAAATAGTAAGACAATTTTTATAGTCCTTATTGTGTCATAGAAAATGCATGGTTTTAAAAGGGAACCCTACTGCATTGTTGGTGTAAACTTGTTAAACAATTTTGGAAAACAGTATGGAGGTTCCTCAAAAGACTCCACATAGAGCTCCCCTATGACCCAGCAATCCCACTTTGGGGCATTTACCCAAATGATCACAAACAAGACTATACTAAACCTACCAGCACAACTATGTTTATTGCAGCATTATTTACCATAGCTAAGATATGGAACCAACCCAGAT